ATTGCTTCTAAATAAATAAGAACTATATCGTACCTCTGCAACCTTAGACTCTTGTTAGATCTGGATGATTCTTTCTGTAGGGAAATAGAAATTCGTGTTTGTCATCCTGTCATGTTTGCCTTCCACTCCTTTCCCCTTTTTCTAAAGAAATTCCATTAAGAAGGAAAAGAATTAACAGGCACTTTGGTTAATTCATACTTAAATGAATACTCTCCCTGAAATATTTAGTAAAGGACAGATACTTTCACCGCCTTGTCTATCAGTTTGAAACAATATTTTAATGTTTAATGTTTCAATGTTTTCAGACAAAGATTGATTTTTTTTAGAAGCAACATTTATCAATTTGAAGTTACTTTGCACCAGGTCACTTTATTTACATTTACATACCATCAGTCTTGAGTGTACTATTAGCCTGGTCACCACATTGAAGATATACAGTCTTCTTAATATTGGACCACATTCTTAAACCATTAAGGCAGGTTTTTCACCTCTCTATGGATAGTTTAAGGATGGTTCATTTTTCACTCTCTATTATTATATCATCAGTACATAATAGTATCCGTGAGTATTGTAATTGTAGGTTTCTGGTTACAGTGTCTGTATTGGGTATAAAGAACAATGTTGATTGGTTGAACCATAGTGGATGGAAAAGAAACAGATCATATGGTACTTGATAACAATGTGGTACTTGGCATCAAGAGCATGTGAAGTATTAGTGCAGCTTTATACTGCACTGCTGAGACCACACTTGGAATACTACATCCAGTTTTGGTCGCCATGATGCAAAAAGCTCTTGAGACCCTAGAAAAAGTGCATAAAATTGTAACAAAGATGCTTAGGGAACTGGAAGCTAAAACATAAAGAACAGTTGCAGGAACTGGGTATATTTAGTTTAATGAAGAGAAGGACTGGGGTGACATGAGTTTTTTATTATTATTTATTCACTAAATTTTTATGCTGCCCATCTGCCCTACAAGGTGATAGCAGTCTTTCAGTATTTAAGGAGCTGTCACCAAGAAGAGGGGATCAAGAAGCAATGGATAGAAATTTATCAAAGAGAGATACAATCTAAAACTAGGGGAAATTTCCTGACAGTGAGAACAATTAATCAGTGGAGTGGCTTTGCCTTCAGAGGTTATGGATGTTCTATCACTGAAGCTTTTTAAGAAGAGACTGCATAGCTATTTGTTTGGAATGGTATAGAACAGAGGTGTCAAACTGCCGGCCCACGGGCTGGACACATCATACGGAAGCCGTGCCCACCCCATTGCCAGCAATGGCAAAACTGTCCCGATACGTTGCGTGACGTCATGTGATGTCGCGAGTTTGACATGTCTGGTATAGAATCTCCTGCTATTGATCAAATGTTTTTTCAAACTCAAGTGACTGCCATATGTATGGTGGTTTGTTCTCAAGTTGCTTCTCCATAAACAGGCAGATAGCATGTATTATTCAGTTGTACCACAATTCTTCATGATGTTGCATTGATTTGGTGAAAGCTTAATGATGACTCAGAAGAATCTAGCATGCATTCAAAATTCCAATGGTGTTTCATAGTATTCTCAAAAGCTTGCAGTTTGAACAGTCATGTACATCACTTCTGAGCATAACTTTAAATTAGAATGCATGTAGATAATCCTGGTTGTGAATTTTTGTGATTCACTCTAGTAGGTACCCATAATCACTGTTCCACGTGCAAGCATTTACTGAGGTAACCAACCATAAAATAAAAGGAAATGAATTCAAGTTCTTTGAAAGTCAAATCTCTCTTTGATCTTGGCTACTTTAAGTTAATGTTTTAGTGTGAACCTATCACTTTAATTGTGACACTTTAATTGATTTTCCTATATAATCACAGGAGTATATTTATTCTAGTGATTTATGGCACAGAGGGAAAAATAATCACAAAAAACCCTGCATAGAATTATTGCAATTTTCATTTTCCATTTTAAACATCAGAGCAGGAATGACTCTACCTACAATGAAAACAACCTGGCTCAGTGTATTTTTGATTTTTTTTCTGCTGGAGTAGACACAACCTTTGCTACTATGATGTGGGCCCTGCTCCTCTTGACAAATCATCCTGACATCCAAGGTGAGAGAAATCTAGGCTGTGGGAACAAGGGCCAGTTTCAGGTTCAAAAACACAGAGGAATTATTTGAAAATACTCTTCATAATAATTTTCCTGTGTAGATTCTTGACCCTATAAACAGGAGTAAGCAGGTTTAAAGAAAACCAAGAATGCACATTTATAGAATCTTCTTTGAAACCTCAATAAAACATTATGTCAACTCTACAACAAACCTGGCTGCAGCCATCTTGCTAATTCAAGGTTGTCACATGAATGGGAGGGGGAGCAGAGGATTTCTACTAGTCTAAACAATTCTATGTCCCATGGGAACCAAGGTCATTTTTGTTGGTTAGGCTGGGGGTTGAGCATCTTGGTAGAAAGCCCGCCAAAGTATTCTATTGGGAAACATAGTTGATTGCAGAGCACTGGAGTAGGAAGTTTAATTTTGTAATAGTGTAACTCTTTGGAAGAGATTGCAGACTTGGTTTCACTTTTGAGCATGCCGATACTATGTAAGCAATAAACATGTTCTTTGAGGAATCTATCAGCCTCGGAGTTCTGATTTATTTGGTCTCGTCTATCAGAACATTGACAGATTGAGTGATTAAATAAAAGTTGAACATCAGTACAGATCTAAAACATTTAACACACTGCAGAAATCTACCAAGGTTTTCAGATTTGTTACTTGTTTCTGGCCTATATTGTGTATACACAACCAAATTCAGTAAGATAATAAACAGGGGGGGAATCAAAATGGTGGGCATGAGCAGATGCATGATACAAGGCTCCCTGCTATGGAGATAAGGGATGGGAGCATTGTGGGATGTTCCTTGCCACTTGGGGGACCAAATGAACCCTCCCACCTTCTCCTTAACCCTACCTTCTTCCTACCCTGCTACTTCATCTGCTACTTGACTGGAGGTTGGAGGGACCAAGATAGGATGGCTGCAGCAAAAGGGTTGAAGGTGTGGTGAAGATGGGAGACCAAAGAAGGTTGGAGCTTGCACGGAGGATTGGCCAAGGATTGGGAACTAGCCAAGACTTGTGTTTGAGGCCATAGATTGGGTGCAGAAAGAGCAGAGCCAACCTAGTGTCGTCATCATCAGTGTTGAGGGATGTGGCCAGGATGATAATGTCAAGAAGTGGAGAGCTGGCCAGTGTGAATTGGAAGGAGTTGCAGGTCTGGAGACTGTGGTAGAGAATGTGCTGAAGGCAGATGGCTGGCTGAGGGGTAGTGATGAATGGTCTTGGAGTTGAATCTGGAGCCAGCTTGGAAGCTCAACAAGCTTCTTGGGGCTGGAAACAAGAACTGGCCCAGAGCTCAGATGCCTTGGCCATAAAATGTGTGGTCTGGATCAGAGACCGAAGAACGGATGCATTGAATTCTGGAGACTGACTAGACTGAAGAAGATTCAGTGGAATATTTGAACTGAAGCAGCAATTTGCATCAATATTCTGAATCTTTTTGGACTGGATCTATTCAGAGCCCAGGAAGCACATTTTTAATCTGCTCTCCTTTGTGACATCCAAAAGGAGGATGAGATTACCTTTAATGCCCTAAAGCTTGTCCTGCATCCTAAAGTTCCACTAAGGATTACAATTCAGAAATAAATAAATGAAACACAATATTGAAAATGAAGATTCCTTTTCCATCATTTTTTTTCTAGAAAAAGTCCAGAAGGAGATTGAAGATGTGTTTAGCATCTCAGGGTCAATTTCCTATCAGGATCGGAAGAAACTGCCCTACACCAATGCTGTGATTCATGAAATGCAGCGTATCAAATATGCCTTGCTAATTGGGGCTCCCAGGAAAAGTACAAAGGATGTGAAGATGAGGGGTTACCACATTCCAAAGGTGAGAAACATGGTCAGGCTACATTCCACTGATCCAACATGAAAGGAAAAGCAGAATATAGATTTGGACAGAAACTCTCTATTCAGGAACTGCCAATGTAGTCAATCGAAAGGGCAAGAATAGCAAGCTTTTGTGGGGTAATAACTGTGGGTTAAAATCTAAGCACCTCTCAATTTTAAAGAAAGAACCTTAAATGTTTTATATTTATCCTAGAAAGGTGATAAGAGATTAAGGGCTGAATTTAAGTTCATAATTGAAGTCTTGCCTGGCCATATTTCTTTATCTCCTTCTTGGGGCAACTTGGAGTGATTAAGAAATATGCATCCAGCTCTCTGTTTTAAGGGAGAAAGGAAGCTAATCTGTTGAGCAGCTACTGCTCTCACAAACATGCTCTGGAAATGAACAAATAGGGATCCACTAAGGCAAGCTAAAACCAAATATTTCATGAATATTGTTTGAACTTTTCTGCCTATTTCCCTTATGAAACTGGTCTCTTTAATTATCTCTCTCTCCTTTTTTACAGGAAACCTTTATTATCCCAGATGTGCGCTCTGTTCTTCTTGATCCTGAACAATGGGAGAAACCTGAAGAATTCAACCCAAATCACTTTTTAGATAAGGATGGGAAATTCATTGAACGAGAAGAGTTTCTGCCATTTGGAATAGGTACATCCAAGAGCCCAAAGCAGCTTATAACTTTTAGGAAAGCTAGGGCAGAGTAAGCCAAGACTGGCAACTAATGCTAAAATTAACCCCCCCCCCCAAAAAAACCCCCCAAAAACCCCAAACACCTTTTCCAATGTTTAAGGAAGAAGAAGGAAGTCAAGAAAATGATAGATCCACTACAGGGAGCAGATGGCAATAAGGTAACAAGTCACAGGGAGAGAGCAGAACAGCTTAATTTCTTCTGTGCATCTGTTTTTATGCAAAAGGAAGAAATAGCACAACCTATCAAAAGCAGCTCTGAGAGAGATAGATAGAACCAATAGACAAATCAAAATAGGCAAGGAAATGGTAAGAAAATACCAATCCACCCTAAATGAGTATCAATCACCTGGACCAGATGGTTTGCATCCCAGAGTTCTGAAGGAGTTGGTAGATGTAATCACCAAGCCATTGAATGTAATATTTCAAAGCTCATATACCATAGGGGAACTATCAAATGATTGGAAAAGAACTGATGTGGTACCAAACTGCAGAAAGGGAAAAAATGGATCCAGGAAATAATAGACCCATCAATACCTGGGAAAATCCTGGAAAAGATAATGAAGTGGAGGGTAGGTGACCACCTAGAAATGAAGGTGATTACTAACAACAACAACAACAACCAATTAACAACCAAGAGCAAAGCCCTTACTATCTACACTTAGCCCACTTTAATGAAGCCCCTCTGGAACTGAACAATTGCTTTCAATAGCCACAATAGCCACTCCCTGGGAAAAAAATATGCAGACACATATGAAAGAGCATTTATCAGTAGTTTCTTAAAAAGAGGCACAATCCAGCATTCCTGTGACAGGGAGAAAAGTATCCCAGACTTCCCTAAGGAAAAAAAAAGATGAATATTGGTGAAAGGAGAGTCAATCCTTAGGGGAACAGAAACTATAATCTGCAGACATGGCAGTCAATTTAGGGAGGTATATTGTCTCTCTGGAGCAAAAATCAAAGATGTAACTAAGTACCTTACTAAAATAATCAATCCCAGGGATTACTACCCCTTTCTTCTCCTACACTTGGGGACCAATGACATAACAATGAATCTGAAAACAATAGCAAGAGATTACGAATAGGTAGGGAAGAAAGTTAAAGTTAAGAGCACAAGTGGCATTTTAATCTGTACTTCCAAAAAAAGGCCAACATCCAATGAGGAAGCAAAGGATTTTAGAAATGAACCACTGGCTTAAAAACTGGCTTCCCAGACCATGGTCTGCATTACCTACATGAAGGGCTACTGGCAAGGGATGGACTACACCTCACAAAAACTGGAAAGAATATATTTGGAAAATGACTGTCTCATCAAAAGGGCATTAAACTAAAATTGAGGGGGGAGGGGTGCCTAATTCCACGCAAAAAAATGATGGGGGAGGGGAATCTAATTCCAAGCAAAAACCACTAAATAACCAAATCACATGAGGTATAGAGTAAAGAAAAAGAAGAAATAAAAAAAGAAAAACATAATGAAGTAGAGACTGATGGAAATCCTAGTTACAAAGTAGGAGATGTAAGAAACATACCAAAGACCCAAAAAAGTCTTAAATGCCTGAACACTAATGCTCAAAGTTTAGGGAACAAACAGGGTGAATTTGAAGTATTAGTACATGAAGGCAGATAGGATATAGTTGCATTACTGAAACTTTGTGGGATGAAACTCATGACTGGAATATGCTGATGGAAAGATACAAACTAGTCAAAAGAAACAAACCTAACAAAAGAGGAGGTGGAGTTGCATTTTATATATAAATGATCACTACATCTCTACAGAAATATCCAAAATCAAGGATGAAAACCTTCTAGAATCCATATAGATCAATGTAAAAAAAACCCTGACATTATAGGAGTATACTGCAGGCCACCCAACCAGGTAGAAGAAATTGATAACCTTTTTGTTAATGAATTAACAAATGTATGTAGGAAATATACCACAGTAGTAATGGGAGACTTTAACCACCCTAATATCAACTGGGAGAACAAACTTTGCAGCAAGTGGGAGAACAAACAGATTCCTAACCATCATCTGACAATGTTGTCATTCAAAAAGTAGAGGAAAAGCTATACTGGACCTAATTCTAACTAATAGAGAAGTGATAGAGGGAGTTAGAGTTGCAGAACCTTGAGTAAGAATGACCATGTCATTTTGGACTTCAATATAATGCAAACACAAGCAATAGAATATAATCCAACTAGTGACTTAAACTTTAAAAGAAGTGATTTCAAGAAACTCAAAGAGAACCTAAGAAAAATTCCATAGATAAAAATCCTAAAGGGGAAAACAACTCAAGAAACATAGGAAAAATATGATCATAAAAACCCAGTACAACACAATACCGCTGAAAAAGAAAAACAAGAAATCCAAGAAGAAACCAGCCTGGTTTCACAAAGATCTCTCTGATAAACTGAAAGACAAAAAGGATAAGTACAAAAAAATGGAATGAGAGACACATAAGTAAGGCAGAATATCAGCAGATAGCCTGTATCTGCAAAGATGAAGCCAGGAAAGCAAAGGCGCAGAACAAGTAAAGACTTGCAACAAAAGTCAAAGATAATAAATGATAATAAACAGTCTGTCCACTAAAGAGAGAAAGGAAGTAACAAGCAGTAGAGAGAAAGTAGAGCTGCTTAGCTCGTTTTTTTGAATCAGACTTCATGCAAAAAGAAATTATAATCCAACCTACCCAAAACATATATTTCTAGACAGACTAGAAATAAAAATTAAAATATGCAAGAAAATGGTAAGAGTACACCTGTCTGATCTTGACTAATATAAATCACTGGGACCTGATGGATTACATCCCAGTTCTGAAGGAGCTGGAAGATATTATCTTAGAACCATTGTACTATCTATATCTTTCAAAAGTCCTGGAGCACTAGGGGTGATGTAATAGCAATATTCCAGTATTTGAGGGGTTGCCACAAAGAAGAGGGGGTCAATTTATTTTCCAAAGCATCAAAAGGCAAGACAAGAAACAATGGATGGAAACTACTCAAGGAGAGAAGCAACCTGGAATTAAGGAGAAACTTTCTAACAGTGAGGACAATTAACCAGTGCAGTTGTTGGTGATTCATTGTTGGAGATTTTTAAGAAAACACTGAACAGCTAGCTGTCTGAAATGATATAGGGTCTCCTGCTTGAGCAAGGGTTGGACTAGAAGACCTCCAAGGTTCCCTCCAGCTCTATTCTGATTGATAGATTGATTGACTATAAGCCATTGTGTGGTTATTAAGAACAGATTGTGTCAGGCAAGCCTTATTGTCTTCTTTAATAAAGTTATTAAATTAATGGACCAGTAAATGTAGTATGCTTGGACTTCAGGAAGGCATTTGAAAAAGTAGACTATAGTCTACTATAGTCTACTTTTTGATAAGATAGAAAAATATAGGACAGACCATGCAATTGACTGACCAACAACACCCAATGGGTAGTGCTTAATCATGAGAAGAGTACTGCCCATCTCTGGAAAAAACATACCATATCAGGTTTTTTCCCCATGAGTGTATAGTGTAGCTTTAGTAATGGTCTACCATTTTGTATAAGTTGTATTAAATTCATCCCTGAAGGCCTGTTCACAAACAGAGGAACGCTGGGAAAATACCTCTGGGAATTAAATCTGCTGTAAGCAGAATAACAGAATAACAGAATTGGAAGGGGCCTTGGAAGCTGCTGGGATTCAATTTGGAAATATATTTGCACTGTTACCATTTTGTTTCCAAATTTTGTTGCTGATAGGGTATACTCTGAAGAACAGATGATTATCTACTTTATGCATGCCTTGTTTTATCTACAGGTCAACGTTCATGTGTGGGAGAACAGCTGGCAAGAATTGAGACCTTCATCTTTCTAACCAGCCTGTTGCAGGTCTTTAGACTCCAATTGCCTGAAGGAGTGAAACAAATCAATCAGTCCCCTATTGTCAAGCTGACAGTGCATCCACAGCCTTATAAACTGTGTGCTGTTCCCACACAGGCTTAAATATATAAAACTCCATAAAAAGCACAAAACTAATTACAGAATAGTTATTCAATATGGTAAATGCAAATGTTTACTTTGTGCCTATTCACTTAATATAATGTTTTGCTTCCTTTTATTCTGCATTGAAACTTCTTCAACCTATTGCTGCATTCATACAATGTACCGAATCAGGTCAATGAAAGACTAGTTAGGTCGTGTATGAAAAAAAAATGGCTAAGTAAGGCTGTTATGTTTTCCCTTTGTTTTCTTTGGGTGCCAATAAAACATATCACTTTCCATTTAGTCTTTGTATCATTTTTTTTCAATTTTAATGAATTTGTCCTATGGGCTTCAAGTTAACCAGCCAAAGCAAATTTCATAGATGCAAAATGTCACTGACATTTGAAGGGATGAAATCCTTAGGGTACCGTCGGCCAGCCAATGCCAGCTGGCAACCCCCAGGGGGAGAGTCTTCTCTGTGGCAGCTCCTGCCCTCTGGAATGACCTGCCCCCCGACCTACGTACAATTGCGGACCTGCGCCTCTTCCGCCGAGCCCTGAAAACTCATCTGTTCCATGCGGCCAGCCTGGCGTAGTTTTGATTGGGTTTTGTTAGGGGTTTTATATTTTAGAACAGGCTTTTATGTAATATTTACTGTGATTTTTATTATTGCCTGTTCACCGCCCTGAGTCCCGTAAGGGAGATAGGGCGGTATATAAATTTAAATAATAAAAATAATAATAAATAATAAATGATGCTGTCAGATTTAATAGAACATGAAAAGGTGTGCCAACCAGTGCATTTTTCATCCTACCCTTAGACCTGAACCTAGACTTGATCCAAATATAGGCTTTATCTAAAGTCTCCTGTTGTTACTACCTAATCATTTTCTCTACAACCTTTCCCAAAGAAGACATTTTTTGCCAGTAGTGCTCCAGCTGTCTTTTCTGGCAATTCCTTCCCCAGAATTGTTTGATTATTCAAAATCTTCCTCTAAATCAGTGCAAAGAAAGCGCCCCCTTGGGGTTAATCCTGACCAGTGTCTTTGTTTCCCTTGCACCCAGAAGATTGGGTAGATACCCAATGCAAGGGGCTGCCAGGCTTCTGGGACATTCCTCAAATAGCTACAGAAACCAGATGATACCATCTAAAAAGAATGGTGGGTGGTAGCAGAAAATTCCTGGTACAAGGAAAGTGATCTCATCATGACTGATGTGAATGTCTTTGATCTTCAGATCCCATACTAGCTGAGAAAAAAACAGACCAAGTGTATGTTTGTCTCAGTGTGAGTTAGCATCATGATAACCTTTTGATTTTGTCTTTGTGGCCGTTGATTTCTGAGTCACTCAGACCCTGTCCTGATGGCCTAGAGCAGTGATGGCGAACCTTTTAGAGACTGAGTGCCCAAACTGCAACCCAAAACCCACTTATGCATCGTCGAGTGCTGGGTGGGTGTGCCCATTGGCTGAGTGTGGCCCATTGGGTGGGTGTGGCCAATTGGGTGGGCGTGGCTGCGGGGGTAACGACAGACTGAGTGGGACTAAAAAGTTCAATCAATCAATTCCAACTTTGCAAGATCTTTTTTTTTCCCTGTGAGAAGTTGAAATTGACTGATTGAAACTTTTTTTTTTTTGCACACGTCGGCAGAGGCCTTAAAGCGAAAAAGTTTTATAAAACCCAGCTGAAGGCCTAGGACTGGGGCAACACCGTGCGTGCCCATAGGGCTCTGAGTGTCGCCTCTGGCACCCATGCCATAGGTTTGCCACCACTGGCCTAGAGATTGATATTTTTGAATATAAGAAGCCTGGATGAATTTACCAACATCAGGGCAATGAGGTCAAAGCCTTGGCAGTGACAAAGGCAGTACAGCAGCAGTACTCATAGCTTATACTTGATTCCTTATGTAGGGCCCCACATACAGCTACCTAAGGAACAAACCATCTTGATACCACCATGTTCTCTCAGAGGATCATTTCCATCTCTCTTCCTCTGACTTGGAGTCATGGCTAGTATAAGAGGTGAACTCCTCAGGCAATGGCATACCTGATTTTCATGAATGTTCCAAATTATTTTGGGACAATTAAGAATTTATGTTTGTAAGCATCACCCCAGGGTACTTAACAGTTTTCTCACCTTAAAATTTGATTTCTTCATCAGAAGTTCTTGAATATTTTGATTTTTAACTATCTTTTTTTTTTTGTTTATTTATTTTGAAACTGGCTAAACCTCCAAAGTCATTTAGCGTCTTCATCAAATATTCCATACTGCTTTTGGCATCTTGTAGAGAAATGCCTAAATCATCAGCAGAAGGCCTCACTTTTTACACAGTTTTATACTTGGAATGCTTTCTAAGTCAGAAGGAACTTCCCTGAGAAAAGGGAAGCTCTGGAAATCAATCCTTTTGCTCCCCTGGATGGCTGGATGCTCTCAGTCCTTCTTGAAGAAGAAGTAATCCGGTGAATTTCTGGCTGGGGGCAGGGCAACCAAGAAGCAAGTTCTTGAAAAATGAGAATATACCATCAGAGGAAGAAGTGATAAAGAAAATCCTGGACTGTGCTGAGATGGACAAATTAACAAAAGAGATAAAAGAAAAGGAAGACACAGAATACTATTTAATATGGAACAAGTGGTATGAATGGCTGGAGAGTAGAAATAAGAGAGAATAAATGTGGAAAGGTTAAAAGTGGAAAGTGTGTGTATAATAATGTATGAAGGAAGAAAAATGCAAATAAGAAATAATGGGGCAACAAGGACAAATACTCCAAAGAAGAATAAGGGGGGGAAATGTAAATAATAGAAGATTACTGTTACGAAATTGCTGTTAAAATATATACTGTGTATATATGTGTGTTATGTTATGTTTTGTTTTGTTGGTTTAAATAATAAAAATTTATAAAAAAAAAAAAGAAGCAAGTTCACTGTGGAAGAATCAGCCATTTAAAATGGACAATAAAATTTGCCACCACTTCTTAGTCACTAGCTTTTTACATATTTGCCTTTCTTTTTAAAAGAGGCTTCCTCTGGCTGTAGCCTGCTTTTTCCTTTTTGTTGAAACATCTTCATAAACTCTGTGAGTTTATGATGGCGAGGAGGAAAGGAGTTGGTGTCTCTGAGCCAAAATAAAGAAGCTGGAAATCACTGTGGTAACTACACTTTTGAAATTTTTGGATTTAAATTTTCTGGAGGATTTTATATCTTTAATTGACTCTGCTGTACTTTTTTATTTTCAAAACAAAGACTGCCTAAATGATGTTTTGATCTTGCTGTGAGGGGGAGAAACAGTTCTGATTTTACTTGTTTCTGATTGGACCAGCTGTGTGGGCTGTTAAACAAAGAGGCACAGACTAAGTTCTTTTTTTGTAGCTTATATTACAGTTGTATGGTTTGACCATATGAGGGAGCCAAAAGACTGTAGTATTGATAATCCTTTTTTCATTCTCCAGTAGCATCATTTAACCCATTGGATTTAATGTTATAAATCTACAAGTCTAAAACTCTTAACTTTAAAATCTCAGTTTTAGCTACACTTTGACAGGATGGTATGCATAAGAGGATGGAGAAAATGGAAAGAACATCAGGAGATACAGAATCTTTAAGGCCCTTTTTGGACTAATATACAGCTAAAATACATGAACTAATTCAGGCAATGAGAACAAAGCTTGAATCCAAACTTGATGCACTTTCAAAGGAACTCTATGAGGAGATACAACATTTGATTGGAGATATCAGAAAGGTTAAGGATAGAGTGGATCTTATGAAGCACAAATTGGAGAAGAAAGAGGTTTTGTATGAAGCTGATTTGGATGAAAATGCTCTTTTGGAATCTCACCTTAAAGAACTTCAATTAAGATTGTGAGCAATTCCTGAACTGTCTGGATAGATAGATGATAGAAAGGAAGAAAGAAAGAAAGAGAGAGAGAGAGAGAGAGAGAGAGAGAGAGAGAGAGAGAGAGAGAGAGAGAGAGTAATTTTTTTTACTGTGGGCACATTGGCACACATTAAAAATGAAATTTTGTTGCTTGCTCTCAAAAATGTACACGTACATTACACACACTTAAACATGCTATATACAACATATGTATGAACATACATCCTTACATATAAATAACATATACATATTAATACTGTCCATTTTGTATACATAGTGGAAAGAGGAAGCTTTAGAATTCACAAGGTTAATACTGTATGGAACAAAAAAATACTGTATGAAACAAAAGGATATTACATTAAGGATCATTAAAACTTTGGCTTTTAAAAAAGATCCTCGACTTGGAAATAGACAAAGTATATAGAGTAAACTCCAGATTTGCTACTATGAGAAAATTACCAAGGAATATCTTAGTTCGTTTTGTAGGAGACCATGTTTTGGATTGCCACTTTAAATCCAAACTAAGAATGGAAAACATGGATATAATTATTTGAAGGAAATTCTGGTTAGAATTCTGGGAAAAAGGAAAGCCTATTCTTTCCTTACTGATACTTTGAAGGAGAGAAAAATTCCCTTTCGCTGGGATAAACCTGAAGGAGTGATACTCACTTATCAAGAGCAAGTATTCAGACTGAATTCCATAGAAAAAGCCAAGGATTTTTTGATCAGACATAAACTAATTTCAGATCCAGCTGAAGAAATAGACACAGATAAGAAATCAGAGGTAGAAGAACCTCAAAACGTTGACAACAAAGAAGAAGATGTGGCTGAAATATCCGTACAGGATCTTGCCATTTTTTTTAAAGATGGAGAGTAAGTCTATTACATGGAATATTAATGGGGCAAATGTCCCATCTAAGCATAAAAACCCTACTTCATTATCTGGGGAAACTAAATGTTGATATAACTTGCCTTCAAGAAACATGTATCAAGAAATAAGATAAGAAATAATAAATAAATGATTAGGGAAGGAATTTATATTTGTTGGTTTAAAAAAGATCAGTGGAGTTGTTTTATATATAAAACCCCAATTTAAACCTAAGTTATTTTTATTAAATGAACATGGTAGATTTGTAGTAGTGGAAATTGAACT